CGCAGGCCGAGGGCGAGGCGGCCGCGGAGGGCGGCGAGGCACCGGCGGCGCCCGAGGCGGCCGCGCAGCGCGGCGCGGCAGCGCCCGCGCCCGAGGCGCCCCGCGCGGAGGAGCCGCCCTTGCTGTGGGGCCTGGCGTCCTCGGTGCTGCGGCCCCGCGTGCGCCGCGCAGGGGGCCCGGAGGCGCCGGAGTGAGGCGGCCGAGCCCGCCGCGCCCTCCCTCCCTTCCCCGCCCTGCCCTCCCTCCCTTCCCCGCCCTGCCCTCCTCCTCCTCCTCCGCCTCCTCCGCCTCCTTCTCCTTCTCCTCTTCCTCCGCCTCCTCCTCCCCCTCCCCCTCCTCCCCTCCTCCTCCTCCCCTCCTCCTCCTCCTCCTCCTCCTCCTCCTTCTCCTCCTCTCTCCTCCTCCTCCTCCTCCTCCTCCTCCTCCTCCTCCTCCTCCTCCTCCTCCTCCTCCTCCTCCTCCTCCTCCTCCTCCTCCTCCTCCTCCTCCTCCTCCTCCTCCTCCTCCTCCTCCTCCTCCCCGGGGTGGCGTGGGCCAGAGCAGGGGCACCGGCCGAGACCCGCACGGCCGAGCGCGCCGCGGAAAGGGTCCCCGCGGGGTGCCCCGCCCCGCGTGGCGAAGGAAGGATGAGAAAGACACGCGTCGGGTTGGGAGGACGGGGCTGGGAGGATGGGGTTGGAACTATGGGGTCGGGAGGACGAGAAGGATGCTGTGTCGGGTTGGGAGGACGGGGCTGGGAGCAACGATCTAGGCCTCCTGGATGGGGTCGGAGCAGAGGGGGTCGGAGGAGATGGGGCTGGGAGCAAGGATCTAGGCCGGAGCAGAGGGGGTCGGAGGAGATGGGGCTGGGAGCAAGGATCCAGGCCTCCTGGAGGGGGTCGGAGCAGAGGGGGTCGGAGGAGATGGGGCTGGGAGCAAGGATCTAGGCCTCCTGGATGGGGTCGGAGCAGAGGGGGTCGGAGGAGACGGGGCTGGGAGCAAGGATCTAGGCCTCCTAGATGGGGTCCGAGCAGATGGGGTCGGAGGAGATGGGGCTGGGAGCAACGATCTAGGCCGAAGTCGGGCCTGTCCCCCTACAGGGGGATTTTCGTTGAAAAATAGCACGTACCCCCAAAATAATATTAAAAAAAACATTCCAAAAATAGTCTGGGGACTATTCTTTGAGTATTTTCTGGCCTTTTTGAGGGCATTTTGGGGTATTTTTGATTTTTCGTCGAAAATCCCCCTGTATGGGGGACACACCCGACATAAATCTACGCCTCCTAGATGGGGTCAGAGCAGATGGGGTCGGAGGATCGCGCCGCATCGCCGACGCATCGGCGATGCGTCGACGATGCGGCTCGATGTGGAGACCGTGATCCCACGCCGACGTCGCCGGTGCATTGCCGACGTAATCGATGCATCGCCGATGCATCGCCGATGCACCGCCGATACATCGGCGATGCATTGGCGATGCGGCGCGATCCTTCGAATCCACCTCCTCGGAGCCCATCAAGGAGGCATCTGAGCGATGAGATCGTCCGAACTATCGCGTATGTGAAGTGCCGTTCTTACACCGTCGTGCCCTGTATCTTCCCCGCCCCTTTCTCCCAACCCGATCATTGTCTTTCGCAAAGGAGCTGCAGACCCAGGCCCCGTCGGGTCATGAAAAGATCATGACCGGAGGTCTTCCTCATTTTCAGCCTCTGGGGGCCCTTGCTGGCCCTCGGGCCCATGGGGCCAGGCCAGACCGCTGGGGACCCTGACTGGCCCATGGGTCCATGAAAAACCAGCAATGTGTCTGGACCGCTGGGGGTCCACGTGATGGGGTTCCATGTGATTAACAAATCATGACGCCGGGGGTCTAGGGAGCAGGGGGAAACAGTACCCGATACCGCTGCACATCCCTTGTCGCCACGGCTGGATCCGGTTCGACGTCGTGGTCAGGACGCACCCTGGAAGGGGTGCTTGGAAACAAACGCCACCAACAGTCCACCGAGCTGGTAATACTTCGTTCCAGGCTCGCACCCTGGGAGTACCCAGAACGGAGTGCCACCAGCTCGGGGGGAAGCCTCTGGGATCCGCGTTTATAATGGTGGTGGCGCTTTTCTGCTCTCATGAAAGCCGTCCGACCTTCCCAGACTTCCGACGATATGACTTGCTGGAGCGTTTTGTTTTCTGAGCGTTTGTTTTTTTCGATTCGTCGGCTCCATGGGGCCCGAGCATTGGGGCCACCAGACCCTCAAAAGCATATCCAGGACTGAAAACTACCCGTGAGAAGTGGATCGGCACCCATGTGCCCGGGAGTAGCGGTATCGATACGCACGTGTCCTCTCTTCCAAAAGAGTATCCGGATCTATCCCCCCCCAAGGTTCACGGTACACCTCTTCCCATTGCAATGTACATATGATTCTGCCCGATCGTCCGTCTTAAATATGAATACATACCATTCCAGCCAGGCTGGAGTTCCCCCCTTGTATCGGCTGCAACAGATATTATGCGCGCACATTCGTCCATCAACAATCATCAATGTTCAAGAATTCCTGGCAGAAAACAAAAAGACAAAGTGCACACGCGCGCGCGGCGTGGCGCGAGCATGCCGAATTCCTTGAAAGAACCTTCTGAGCTTCGTAAGGATGTCAAAATCAGATGTCCTGACAACATATACAAACACATGGTTGTGCAGCCAGGGTGTTCAAAGAAACGCTTGCGCCCGCGCCCTTGCCAATTCTCATCAAGACCTTAGTTTTTTTCAGCATTTGATAAATGTGTTAGGACGTGAACAACCAGGCTTCTCGCGCGCGCATGCCGAAATCGCTCGAAAGCCCTTGAGCGCGTGCTGTCGCAAGAATCCCTGGCAACAGATGGGACGAAGTGCACACGCGCGCGTCGTCGCGCGCATGCCGAAATCCTTCAAAAACCTTAGGATTCGCGTAGATTTCCAAACCGAGGTTCCCGAAACAACAGTCTGTTTTCAATGAAGTCTGCGCTCGCGGCCTTGCGGATTGTTAAGAAAACTGCAGGTTTTCTGGTTCATCGAATTTTGCCAGACGGGCCTGTCGCGCCGCATGTCGAACTCATTCGAACGCCCTTGCCAGCATGCGGGGGGGGGGTGCACGGCCCATGTCGAATAACACCACGCGGGCCACCCGCGCGTGTCGGCCGCGCGCGCATGCCGAACTCTTGCGAAATCCTCCATCGCCGACGCGAGGACATTGTCATCGTCACCGTCGGTCGTGATCAACGTCCGCGCCGTCATTGGCCTTGCCGTCGTCATCGCCACTACCATCGTCACCACCATCGCTATTCTCATAATCGTGTCTACCGTTGTCGGCGTCTCCATTCTACCGCGCCCGCCCAAGTTTCCGATTCGCATTGCAGTGCCCGCTTGGGCCAGCGATCAGCGCCACCGCGGCGGCGTCGGTCGCGCCAAACTAGTTGGGCGCTGTGCGCGCGAGCATGCGCATGCTAGCGCAGCCGCAGAGATGCAGCAGCCAACGCCAAGCACTCACCGCAATCGCCGCCGCATGGGCTTTGCAAGCCAAGTTGCGGGTGGATGAGGTGTTTGCGAGAACAAGGAAGTTGCAAGTGTAGTTGTGCAAGTATGTTTTGTTCCCTTGGAGTTTGTCACGGGAGGGGGATCGCAATTCTTTCCCGGAGGTTGTGCGGGAGGCCATGGTGCTGCACGCACCGCGGTGCCCATTTGTGGGAATGGCAGAGGGGACTCGCCAGCTGGAGGCGGAAACAATCTGGTACTTTTTTGACCCCCCCCAGAAGCTCTGAGGCCCGAAAACCATCACTTCACTGATTTTTGGCCCCAGGGCCCACTGAGGCCCAGGGGCCCCAGATTAGTGAAGTGATGTTTTTCCCACGTAAGGACAACGAAATTCATCACTTCGCTAAACCGAACCCAGGACGAAAGTCAGGGGCCGAATTGCTGCTGTGATGCAACATAGGTCTCGTAGAAGTTGTCATGGGAAGGGGATCGCGATCCCCACGCGAGAGGTGTGCGGGACGCCGTGGCGCTGCACACCCCACGTTGCCCACGTGTGAGAAGTTCCAGGGGGGGAAGACGTGGCGGCGGAAGGAAATCATGACGAGGAGGAAGCGGAGGAGAAGGAGGAAGAGAAAGGGGGAGGAGAGGGAGTAGTAGGAGGAGGAGGAGGAAGTAGGACGAGTGCAAACCCAAGACTCATCAGCGATGTTGCAATCAACCCTCGCTCCAAGCCCCCCCGTCAAAGGTCCCTTACCAGGGTTTATTGACTTTGAGAGAGGTGCCCTGTTGGAAGACAACCGTTTGACACATCGGAACCGTACCAAAACACCACGATTTGCATTTCACTCCCGCAAGTCAGCGTTCCACATGCGTCCTTACAACCCTGAACGTCCCAGAACTTCCCAGAGACTTCGACACCGCGAATCAATATGACAGTTGCGCCATGACCATCCTGCATCGTGCCATGATTGACACACCATATCTGGTACGTCAACCATAAACATCAGTGAAACTGTTGTAAGCGAATGCGCACTGCGCTAAGACGAGACCCACATTTAGAAACAGAGCTGCCCTTCATCCGTGAAGTTCTTGCATGTTTGCAAGACGAATGTGTGCGGCGCCAAGGCGAGACCCACACTTGAAAAAACGGCCTATCCACCAATCGTGAGGCTCTCGCACAATTTCAGACGAATTTGCGCTGCCACATTTCGAACACGGCCCGCCCTCTGTCCATGAAGCTTTTTCAATGTTGTAAATCGAATGTGCGCGGCGCTCAGACGAGAGCGACGTGTTGAAATCGACCCGCCTTCCATCCGCGAAACCCTTACAAAGTTTTGATACGAATGTTGGCGAGATTGAAAACGACGCGCTTTCCTCACCAGTGGTGAGGAAGTCTCAGGCGAAACGCCCAGCCAGCCATACCAACACGTCTCGGGGCGCGACAGGGAGGAGTCATTTAGAAGGAACAGGGATTCGGGAGAAGAGAGGGCGGCTGTGCGTGCGACCGCCCCTCAGCGCCCCTTGGATGGCGAGGATCCGCGTGGATCGGCGCAGCACCGGCTCCGCGGGACGCCCCGCGGGCGCAGCAACGCGGTGGCCGGACAGCACCCAGAGGGCGGAGTCCCGAGTTGCTTGGCGTGCGGCGCCCGCCCCGCAGGCAACGTCGCGCCTCGCAGCGCCCAGTGAGGGCGAGGCCTCGTTGGACCAGGGTTTCGACCCGGACTCCGCCCTGGGCCTAGCAGGCATGCAGCAGAGGCGGCGGCACTCTCGTGCTCATTAGCGCCCAGTGAGGGCGAGGCCTCGTTGGACCCACGCTTCGGCTCGGACTCCGCCCTGGGCCTAGCAAGGATGCAGCAGTGGCGGCGGCACTATCGTGCCCAGCAGCGCCCAGGGAGGGCGAGGCCTCCTGGGACCTGCGCTTCGGCTCCGACTCCGCGTTGGGCCTAGCAGGGATGCAGCAAAGGCGGCGGCACTCATCGTGCCCAGCAGCGCCCAGGGACGGCGAGGCCTCGTTGGACCTGCGCTTCGGCTCCGACTCTGCCCTGGGCCCAGAAGGGATGCAGCAAAGGCTGCAGCATTCCGGTACCCAGCAGCGCCAAGGGAGGGCGAGGCCTCGTTGGACTTGCTCTTCGGCTCCGACTCTGCCCTGGGCCTAGCATGGATGCAGCAAAGGCGGCGGCATTCGCGCGCCCAGCAGCGCCCAGTGAGGGCGAGGCCTCGTTGGACCTGCCCTTCGGCTACGACTCCGCCTTGGGTCTGGCAGGGATGCAGCAAAGGCGGCGGCATTCGCGCGCCCAGCAGCGCCCAGTGAGGGCGAGGCCTCGTTGGACCTGCCCTTCGGCTACGACTCCGCCTTGGGTCTGGCAGGGATGCAGTAAAGGCGGCGGCATTCTCGTGCCCAGCAGCACCCAGGGACGGCGAGGCCTTGATGGACCTATGCTTCGGCTACGGCTCTGCTTTGGGCGTAGCAGGGACACAGCAAAGGCGGCGGCACTCTCGCGCCTGGTTGCGCCCAAAGAGGGCCGAGGCCTCGTTGGACCCACGCTTCGGCTCCGACTCCGCCCTGGGCCTAGCATGGATGCAGCAAGAGCAGCGGCATTCTCGCGCCCAGCAGCGCCCAGGAAGGGCGATGCCTTGCTGGACTTGTGCTTCGGTTCCGACTCTGCTTTGGGCGAATCAGGGATGCAGCAAAGGCGGCGGCACTCTCGCGCCCAGCAGCGCCCAGGGAGGACGAGGCCTCGTTGGACCTGCGCTTCGGCTCCGATTTCGCTTTGGACCTAGCAGGGATGCAGCAATGGCGGCGGCATTTCCGCGCCTGGCAGCGCCCAGGGGGGGGAGGCGAGGCCTTGTTGGACCTGCGCTTCGACCCGACTCCGCCCTGGGCCCAGCAGGGATGCAGCAAAGGCGGCGACACTCCTCGCGCCCAGCAGCACCCAGGGAGGGCGAGGCCTCGTTGGACCTGCGCTTCGGCTCCGACTCCGCCCTGGGCCTAGCAAGGACGCAGCAAAGGCGGCGGCATTCTCGCGCCTCGCAGCGCCCAGCGGAGGCGAGGCCTCGTTGGACCTGCGCTCCGGCTCCGGCTTCGCTTTGGACCTAGCTGGGATGCAGCACAGGCGGCGGCACTCTCGCGCCCAGCAGCACCCGGGGACGGCGAGGCCTCCTGGGACCTGCGTTTCAACCCCGACCCCGCCCTGGGCCGAGCAAGGATGCAGCAGAGGCGGCGGCACTGTCGTGCCCAGCAGCGCCAAGGGGACGGCGAGGCCTCGTTGGACCTGCGCTTCGGCTCCGACTCCGCCTTGGGCCTAGCAGGGACGCAGCAAAGGCGGCGGCACTCTCGTGCCCAGCAGCGCCCATGGAGGGCGAGGCCTCCTTGGACCCACGCTTCGGCTCCGACTCCGCCCTGGGCTGAGCAGGGATGCAGAGCAGGCGGCGGCGCTCTCGCGCCTCGCAGCGCGCGCAGAGAACGAGGACCCCTTTGGATCCCCGCGTGACCTCCCTGCGGGGGCGCGGCGAAGCGGCGACAGCTGCGCGCCGGGCAGCACCTACGAGCGGGCGGGGCCCCGCTGGGCTGCGCGCCTCCCGGGGGCGCAGCAGAAAGTCGCGGTCGTCACGTGCCGGGCCGCGCCCGAGGAGGGCGAGTCGGGGATCGCGCAGCGGGGGTTCAGCGCCAACGGGGGTCAGCCAGGGCGCTGGATCCTGGCGCGGCCCTGGAAGGCTGGATTTGTGGCTGGCTTGGGAGCGGATCGCGGCCCCGGATGTGGCCTTCCATCTTGGCATGTTTTTGTTGTCCTCCTAGCTTACACCTCCTTAACCCTTCCGAGGAGTTCGGGGGGGCTGAGCCAGGTCTGGGAAGCCCCCCAACACAAAGGCGCAGTTTTCCCTGAGTTCGCTGGGCCGGGTTTTCGCTGAGCGGGGTCGGCCCGCGCCCGAGCGAGGCCTCGTTGGGCCTGCGTGGCGCGCAAATCCTCCGAGGCGGGGACGTATCCGTGACCGCCGTCGGGAGGATCGACCTGTGTGGATCTCGGCAGGCGAGCGATGCGTACGGACGTGTTCGGGCCTTGGACGGGCCTAACAGGCCGGCGCCTGTACCTCTCGCCTCGCGCGCTGGCCTCTCACGGGTCCTGGCGGAAGAGTGAGCTTTCCAGATAAGAAGTTCTTCTGGCCTTGAAGGGGTGTAGGATACATATCCATAGCCACCGTCAGCCGCGGTCACCGAGGGCCGATCCCGAGGCGGCGGTTCTGGATAAGCCCCTGCCCCGCAACTCTTCTGGCCCTCCTCTTAGGCGCAGCAGGTGGTGGCCGCTGCGCGTCTGGAAGCATGCCAGAAGGGTGCATCCCCGATTGGTCTGCGTGGCGCGCCACTCGGCCGGGCTCCTCGCGGCTGGATCTGCGGGGGGCCCGACTCCGCTGGACCTGTGTCGGAGTCAAGGGGATGAGCCACTGAGAAAGACGAGGGGGGAGGAGAAGGAGGATCGTGAGAGAACAGGAATGGGCGGGACGGGAGATACTCTACTCCGTTCAAGACGAGTCTGCTCAAGACGAGCTGGAGGATGAACGGGGGAAGCGCGAGGAAAGGATGAGGATTGAGCAACAGTTGCCCTGTCCCAAACGAGGGTCCAGCATTGGACGCAGGAAGGGGGCGGAGGCGGAGGCGGAGGCGGAGGAGGAGGAGGAGGAGGAGGAGGAGGAGGAGGAGGAGGAGGAGGAAGAGGACGAAGAGCACGAGGAGGAAGAGGAGGAGGAACCGCTCGGAGGATGGAAGTCGGCGGGAGCAAGGAGGAGGAAGGAGGAGGAGGGGGAGAAGGAGGAGGAGGAGGAGGACCAGGAGGAGGAGGAGGAGGAGGAGGAGGAGGAGGAGGAGGAGGAGGAGGAGGAGGAGAAGCGAGGACCCAATGCAGGAAGTCAGGGGCCCAGTTCACGACAGCAGCCTCCCTATCCTCGGCCACCGCGCAGGGCGCGAAGAGCCCCACAAAACCCCTTCCTCCCGCGCGCGCCAGGAGAAGAACGACCTCGTGAAGCACCGGGACATGCTCTCGGGGCAGGTTTCGGGCGTCGAGGAATAGGGGGGGCGATGAACCTTGGCATCGGTCGGGCGCGAGCGTTTTTTCCGTCGGCGGGGAGCGTCGAGAAACATCTTGGACCATCTTGCGAAACCGCACGCGCCAACATCGACAAATGCTCGGGGAATTGGCGTCCGAGAGCGATGGCGAGTAAACGGGGAGGTCGGGAGGGGTGCACCTCTTGTGGCCTATACAAGCGCACTGAAGGGGCCCCCCTAGGACCCAACAGGGGCACAACATGTGCACATTTCTCCCCCGCCCCACCCCTCTTACCCATACCCCCGACGTCATGCTTTCTTTTGTTTTCATAACTTCCACCTCCAAAGTCCCGACCCACTCCCCGGGACCAGTTTTTGTTCATCCTGCGTCGTCTTGTGACGGTCCCGAAGGCCGGTGGGGGCCCCCAGAGGCCGAAGGCAGCGACAAGCCTGGCGCCGTGCGCTTTTGCTCTTCCCCTATGCCTCGAGGGGGTCTGGGTATCCCCCCCACCACCACCACCCACGGAGACACGCGAACAATTTCTGGAATTTCGAATTCAAAATTTTCGAAGCCCGTCTAGCTCAGTCGGTAGCGCGCAGGTCTTTTGAGCCTGTGGTCGTGGGCTCGAGCCCCACGGGGGGCGTCTTTGACCCTCAAACGGCACGAGTTTCCCGCGGCGGCCGGGAAAGCAAAACCCCTCTAGTCGGTATCTCTAGAAAAAATAACGCAGCGAAAGATGGCGCCACGCCCGAAGGCAGCGAGAAGCCTGGCGCCGTGTGCTTTTTTGCTCTTCCCCTATGCCTCGAGGGGGGCCTGGGTATCGCCCCTCGCCCCCCCCCCCCCCCCTGGCCTACGCCCGAAGGTCGGGCAGCTGCAGACGCAGAACTCCGACCTCGGCCTGAAGGCCGCCCGCGGGCCCCCGCGGCCAAGGGGGGGATGGGGCCGGGGGCCGGCCCGCGCGCCGCGGGCGAGGGCGGCGCGGGATGCTCTCTCGGGCGGGGGGGGGCCTCCGTCGCGGGCAGCGTTTTAGGTCGGGCCTGTCCCTCGACAGGAGTTTTTTTTTTTTTTTTTTTTTTTTTGTTTTTTTTTTTTGTTTTTTTTTTTTTGTTGTTTTAAATGTTTTAATATATTTAATATATATATATATATATAATATATATTATATGATCTTTTAATACATCTATATATATAAAAAGGTAGAGAATGGTCGGGGGGCGATTGTTGGATTATGTGTCGATCATCTGGGGATCTTTTTGCTGGTATGCTTTTGATCTGTCGTGCAGAATCCGCCTGTAGGAGGACATGCCCGGCCTGAGGCAGCGTTTTGGGGGGATGGGCTCCGGCGGGGTCGCACCGATCCCCCATCTCATCACCTTCCCGGACAGGATCGCGTCGCAAGCAAAACATCAGGATGTCGTTTTTTTTTCTGCGTTTTCGGCCTCACGGAGGCCCTCGCTGGGCCCTGGGGCCGTCCACACAAAGACTCAGGATGACTTCCGGGGACGGTCCCGGGGAGAGGGTTGGCACTGCCTGGGACCGCGTGTGGAAAAGGGTCAGGACGTCGCATGTCTGGGTTAGCTGCCCCGAAACGCTCGTTTTGAACCGCAGCGCGTGGCGTATTCAAAACGTCTGTGTTGGCAAGCGGCGTGTTGGCTCGGCACGTGTTGCGCCACGTTCTGGCGAGCAAGACCTGCGTTTCAGTCGTTGACGTGTTGAGCTCCCTGCCAACACGCTACGGGTTACGTGGTAAGTATCGGGGCGGCTAAGCTCACTACTTACCACGCCACCCAAGCCGAACTGGAAGGTCCCAGAGCCCCCCAGATTTCGGGTTGCGGTGTGTACGGGTTCCATCGTGTTTCCTCATGTTCTGGAGCGCCCCCCACTCCACAGGAACGTGACGCTGCCACGGGTGACTTCGGCTTGGGTTGGGGGGGCTTGGTGAGTAGCCACACTCGCCCAGTCATCGCCCATCGGCGACGGATCGCCGATTCCAGCTCGATGTTCCCCCCCCCTGAGCCAGCCCCCCCTGTCGTTGCCCCTCTTCCAGGGGGGCGCGGAGGAGCCAGACCTCTCCGCCCTGCGCCGAGGAAAATCGCGGCGGGGCCGCTCCGCCAGTGTCAAGTCGGGCATGTCCCTCTACAGGAAAAGTATCCAACAATAGTCATGAAACGCTCTGGGGGCGATTTTTTCAAAACTATGTTTAGCCATTCGAGAATCTGTGTTGACAATCTTTATTTTTCGTCCAATATCCCCTTGTCGGAGGACACGCCCGACCTAATGCCAGTGGTTTGCCCCTGGGCCCCGGGGGTCGTCCGAAGAGCTGCCGGGGATGGAGAGCGGGTCCCGGGGGAGGTGGGCTCGATCTCGGAGGCCCGCGTCGTGGGACAGGCACGGCGTTGGGGGCCTTGGGAGGCGGGGGAAGAGTGGAAGAGTCAGGATGGACAAAAAGCACAGCCACACACACACACACACACGCACACACACACACACGCACACACACACACCACATGTGCATAGATATACATTTATATAGCACATAGACCACGCATAACTTACATACATACATACATACATACATACATACATACATACATACATACATACAGACAGACAGACAGACAGACAGACAGACAGACAGACAGACAGACAGACAGACAGACATACATACATACATACATACATATATATACAAAATAATATTCGACTCCCCTGAAAACATGATGGGAAGGGGGGGAGAAGGCGCACATCCAGCACATACGGCAACAGATGGGGGGATCCTGGGGTTCGTGTCTACTCATTTGCGTGTCCCTGGGCCGGGGGGCCCCAGAACTCCGACGCAGCGGTATTTGTTTTGTTTTCCAGCGTGGACCCCTCTGAGGTCTGGACCCGTATCCCAGAGCCCGTGACCAGCCTCTCGTCCTGCGGTCGGGGCTCGAGAGAGGGGGGCCCATGCAGGCGGGGGTCAGCCAGAGCGCCGGATCTTGAAGGATCCTCCTGGGTCAGTGCAGGATCCTGGCCTCACCGACCTGGGTCTGGATATGTGGAGGACGATCAATGGAGAGGAAGCATGTTGCCAAATAACTCCCAGATGTCTAGAACATGTCTGACACATGCTTTAAAACATGTCTAAGACATGCTTAGAGCATGCATCCCACATGTTAAACACATTTAAGATTCAACGATAGGGCTGTCAGGGTGTCCATTGTCGTGGCATCCACAAGAAGTCTGGATGGACCCGGGTCAGTAGATCGACGCGGGCAGAGTTCTCACGGCCCTGCATAGAGGGTGGGGGGCCAGCGGAGGGCTCCCAGAGGCCGAGCCCTCTGGACGCTTCGTGTTGCCCCGCCAGCCCAGCCAGAGACGGTGTGCCCGGGCGAGTGGCCCTGATCAGGGATCTGGAGGAGCATGCAGTGAAATGCAGGGCTGGAGAAGCCGCCGTACCCCAAGAGGGGGAGGATGGAGGAGGAATCGGATGATGATGATGATGATGATGATGATGATGATGATGATGATGATGATGATGATGATGATGATGATGATGATGATGATGATGATGAGGATGAGGATGAGGATGAGGATGAGGATGAGGATGATGAGGATGATGAGGATGATGAAGATGATGAGGATGATGAGGATGATGAGGATGATGAGGATGATGAGGATGAGGATGAGGATGAGGATGATGATGCTGATGCTGATGCTGATGCTGATGCTGATGCTGATGGTGGTGGTGATGATGATGATGATGACGATGCTGATTATGATGATGATGATGACGATGATGCGGATGATGATGATGACGATGCTGCTGCTGCTGCTGATGATGATGGTGGTGGTGGTAGTGCTGATGATGATGCTGATGATGATGATGCTGATGATGATGATGATGCTGCTGTTGCTGCTGCTGCTGCTGATGATGATTATGGTGGTGGTGATGATACTCATGATCATGATGATGCTGATGCTGATGTTAATGATGATGCTGATGATGATGCTGATGATGATGCTGCTGATGATGCTGATGATGATGATGAGGAGGAGGATGAGGAGGAGGAGGAGGAGGAAAAGGAGGAGAAGGAGGAGGAGGAGGAGGGGAAGGTGGGAGGGGGGCAGGGATAAGGGATGAGGAGGGATAGGTGGATGAGGAAGAGGAGGAGGAGGAGGAGGAGGAGCAGACAGGCCAGAGGCCTCTTGGATGTCTCTCGGGGTCTCTTCGGATGTCTCGTGAGAGCTTCTTGGGGTCCTAGGGCGTCTTGGGGGCCACTTGGGGGTCCCAGGGGCCTCGTGGAGCGCCTCGGGTGCCTCGGGAGAACCTCTTCGGGCCTCCTGGCCGCCTCTTGGGGCCATCTGGAGTCCGTCTTGGGGCACCCTTGGGAGCCTCGGGTGCCATCTTGGGGCCATCTAGGAGGAGATCGATCAAAGAAAGGGGTGGGGCCTCAATTAGCCTTAAGTCGGGCCTGTCCCTCTACAGGAGGAATATTCAAAAAGAGTCAAAAAAGTACGAGGACGATTTTGGGGGCATTGTTTGGCCATTTTGGTGTATGCTTGGACTATTTTTTAAATTTTTCGTCCAAAGTCCCCCTGTATGGGGGCAGGCCCGACTTACAATTAGCCCCCCCCTCACCCCCCCAAGGAGGCCAAAAACCGGGTTCGAGACCTCAGCACAACCATCGCTTCGTGCCGTCTCGTCGAGGCCTCTCTCTTGGCACCGCTCGGACGTGTGCATTTTTTTCCATCCGGCGAGGACCATCGAGGAGCATCCTTGACCATTTGGCGAAACAGCCACGCACGAAACTGAAAAAATGCACAGGGAATGGACGTCCGAGCGATGGCCAGTTCTTGAACGCTCCAACGACCCGTGTCCCCCCCCCAAGTCCAGGTCCAGGGGCTCAGGGGAGGGGGCAGGGGGAGGCAGAAACCCCTCCCCGAAGGGGAAGAAAAAGGGGGTTGGAAGAGGACGCGTTCTAGCCACCCTCGCCCTAGAGGGCTGGTGGGATTCCCCATGCCCTCTCGTCGCGATCTTTTCCCGACGCGAGGGGGTCGAGGTGGGGGGGAGGCGGTGGAAGCACTTGCGCTGTTCGAGAGGAGGCGCCGTCCTCCTCGCGCTGCCCTGCGCCAGACGCGCCCCGGGGATGCGGCTCGCTGCGGTCGGGAAAGTGTGTCGCTGCGCCTGTGCTGGCCCACCGCGCTTCGGCGCGGCACCGCTTCCCAGCCCCCAGGTTTCCACGTCCCGGGGCTTGCCGAGCCTCCCGCCCCGCGGAGCGGAGCGGCACGCGATCCGCTCGCAGGGCATCGCGCATCGCCGGGGCCGCCGCGGGAGCACGGCAAGCCAAAGTTCCTGCCCGTACCATGCTCAAGGAGGTGTGCTCAGCCTGTTTTTCTGGCGCGTCGTGCTTCGAAGGCGTCGTGCTTGAGGCTTTTCCACCTTCTTCCGCGTCTGGCCGCTCTCGCCCTCAGGGAGCAGCACGGGCCGGACCCCCCAAAAAACGAATCCTCGGGAGCTTCGTCCGCTGTTCTAAACAGTCCAGTTGCTGGAGGCGCTCATGGATAATTACCCTCGAGATGCTTACGCGATGTATTGAACAAAAGTTAAAACAACTCAAATAAAGAAGACAGATCAATATCAACAAAAATACACGGCGAGCGTTTTGGTTCCCCCACTGTCGGCGTCCAGGACTTGGGGCAGTCCAAAGACGAGCTGGGATGGAAATCGCTCCCCAGGGACAAAGGTCCAGACTTCCGGGGCCCACGCTGCAAAACAGACGCGATGTCCGAGGTCCAGGTTTGGGGCAGCAGGTTGCCGAATCAATCGCGCGAGGGGTTGACGTTCGGCCGGTCGAGGACGGCTGCGGCGGGTGCCTCCGCCACCCCGAGGCCTTATAAGCTCGGGACAGCGACCGACACCCCCTCCCGGGTGAGACCGGCAGCGGCAACATCCTGCCAGTGAGCTTACGGGGTCGGCGAGCATGGCCAGCGGGTGGGCCGTGAGGACTCCAGATTTTGTAATAAAGGGAGGGGGGTCTCATTTGGGGGGGGGTCTCTTCCAGGCTATCTTGGAGGGCCTGGGGGGGTCTGGGGACGATGTTTTGGAGGGTTCTCCCACGGGGGAGGTCTGAAATGGCTTGTCTTGGAGGGTCCAGACCCCCTCCCTTTTACTACGAAATCTGAAGTAGGCGGAGATTGGTCTGGGAGAGTCGGGCTGGGGTGCACGCTCCGTTCTCATCAGGGGGCGTTCGGTTCCCAGGTGTCGGTTCCCGAACCGCCGCTGTAGCGACCGGGTGCCCCAAAGATGGAGGATGTAGCTCGGCAGGCAGATCTCGAAGAAGAGAAACGCTATAAACAGAAACTTTCGGCGATCCGCGCGGATGTCTTGGATCCGCGCTCGGCCCCCCCGGCGGTGCCTCCGGCGCCGCCCCTGGCGCACTCCACGCGCCAGGGAGGGGGTCCAGCGCAGATCCAAGACATCCGCGCGGAGCGCCAACAGCTTCTGTCTATAGTTTTTTCTTCTTCTGAGATCACGTCTTGCTTCAGGCCACCCTCGACGTCGTCGCGGGCACTTGGATGCGATTTCGCATGCGATGTCCCCAGATATGCGACGTCTTGATTTTTTCAGGACGGCGTCCCTGGAAGTCCCGACCCTTTCCCCGGGACCGGTTTTTCGTCCTGAGCCGTTTTTTGACGGTCCCGAGGCCCGGCGAGGGCCCCCCGGGGCCGAAAATAGCCAAAAGCCTCCCGTTCTGATTTTTTACGACGCGATCATGTCCTGGTCACCCAATATCGGATGCGATGTCGGCGAGGTTTGCAACGCCGTCGTCTGTCGCTGGATGCGCCTCCGGCAGCCCAGGCCCCCGACCACTGGGCTCCTCCGCGGCGCCTGCCCAGGAGCTAGCTCTCGGCTCTCGGCACCCGCCCTGGGTCCCTGGAAGCGGCCCCCGAGGACCGAGCATGCCAGCAAAAAGACCCCCTCGAGTTAGGAACACATCCTCCTCCTCCGCATCTCCTCCTCCCCCTCCTCCTCCCCCTCCTCCTCCTCCTCCTCCTCCTCCTCCCCCTCCTCCTCCTCCTCTCCTCCTCCTCCTCCTCCTCCTCCTCCGCCTCCTCCTCCTCCTCCTCCTCCTCCTCCTCTTCCTCCTCCTCCTGCTCCTCCTCCTCCTCCTCCTCCTCCTCCTCCTCCTCCTCCTCCTCCTCCTCCCTCTCCCTCCTCCTCCTCCCCCTCCTCCCCTCCCATCCTCAACATCCTCCTCCTCCTCCTCCTCCTCCTCCTCCTCCTCCTCCTCCGTCTCCTCCTCCTCCTCCTCCTCCTCCTCCTCCTCATCTCCTCCTCCGCATCTCCTCCTCCGCCTCTCCTCCTCCCCCTCCTCCTCCTCCTCCTCCTCCCCTCCTCCTCCTCCTCCTCCTCCTCCTCCTCCCCCCTCCTCCTCCTCCTCCTCCTCCTCCCCCTCCCCCTCCCCCCCCTCCTCCTCCTCCTCCTCCTCTTCCTCCTCCTCCTCCTCCTCTCCCTCCTTCTCCTCCCCCCTCCTCCTCCCCCCTCCTCAACATCCTTCTCCTCCTCCTCCTCCTCCTCCTCCTCCTCCGCCTCCTCCCCCTCGAGTTATGAGAGAATCACGACGGGATGCTCTTTGTTTCGCTATCTGCGGCCCCTTGGGGGCCCTCCACCGGCCCTCGCGGCCGTCAAACGAACGACTCGGGATGCAGAGCCGCTCCCCCGGGACGAAGGGGCCCAGCCCGCTGGGGGGGGGGCCCACGTCGTGGAGCACTCACGCCGCCGGGGGTGTCTGCGTTTTGGGGTTTGCTGGCGCTTCTCGGGCCGCCTGGTGCCGCCGCCGCAGGCGTCCTCGGCGCCTTGGAGGTCACCGCCCCCTGAGCTCCAACGCTGCAGAACACTTGCCCCAAGTCGGGCCTGTCCCTCTACAGGAGGAATCTTCAAACATAGTTTAAAAGATGTCAGGGGACGATTTTTTGGGCATTTCGTGGCTATTTTGATTATTTTTGACTAGTACCATTTGGGTGCATCTTTTGACTACTTTTTATGTTCATGGCAAAAATTCCCCGTGGGAGGACAGGCCCGACTTTACACTTGCAGCATCGCAAAGAATCAGGACCGGAGCCTCGGACACCATCTTTCTGCTTCATCTTTCGCGCCGGATCTATCTGTGCGGGTCTTGCCGGGGACCCAAACCAGGCGAAAACGAACGTTGTGAAAGAATGGCAGCGCCAGGATCTGAGGGGTATACGGAACGAGAAGAGTGGGGTTTGGGCCGAACCGGCTCGTACGGGGTGCGGTCGGTTCGTATCGCGTCGACGCGGCGGCGACCCCGCCGCGGTTGTTCAGTGTTGAGCGCCGCCAGTGGCCCAGAGTCGGCCAATGTGGGGAGGAGCTGGCGTGCGAGCAGCCTCCGACCGTTCAAGGCCGAGCGATCCGCGTGGTGTGAGCAGCCACGGCGGGGGTCGCCACGACACGGTCCCGCCGTGGCCGAGCGTTGCAGTCGGCAGCTCCGGTTCCGCGCGTCGCGGCGCGGGTTCCGACCCGCCACGCTTCGGCGCCACGCCCTGCACTTCTCAAGACCCGCAGGCGTCCGCGTGCCTATGGTGTTCGCCGTGGCCTTTGTGCCGCGCGGAGCGGGGCGGCACGCGTGGTCCGTGGCAGGGCACGGCGTGTCGCTCGGGGCCCACGCCGCGACGGGATCCTGCCGCACGTGGGCAGCAGATGGGGTCGGAGCAGCCGGGGTCGGGAGGTCGCGCCGCGCCGCGTCGCCGAGGCATCGGCGCTGCGGCTCGGTGTGGAGCTCGAGGTTCTCGATGCTGGCGTCGCCGAGGTACCGCCGACGTGGCCGATGCACCGGCGATGCGGCGCGAGCCTCCGACACCATCTCTGCTCGGACCCCATCTTGAAAGGCTTTCTACGTCGGGAGGAGGTCGGCCTTCAGCCCCCCTTGGCGGAGGTGCAGAAGCTCGAGGCGGAGCGCGCGGCGAGCAGCAGCAACCTGCTGCAGCTGCAGGACCGCCTGCCGCAGCCCCGCCCCGCGGGTTCTCTTCGCGGCTCTGGGCACCAGGGATTTGCAGACCGGAGCGCGGGTCCGGGTCGGAGCTGGCTGGGGGTCTGCCTGACCGACGGCGAGCCCAGGGGGGAAGGGAGAAGGGGCGTGGCCTTCTCGGAGGGCTCGGGAGGCCTCGGGCCTTCCGCGAAGCCTTCTCGGCCCTCCCCGAAGACGCGGAAAAAAACATTCCGAAGGACGGAGGGCTTCTCAGAAGCCCCGCCGCCTTCTGCGAAGGCCTGCCCCCTCTCGCTCCTCCCCAGCGCCGCCGATCTGAGGTGGCCCAGCACCGGCCCAGCACCGGCTCTGGTGGGCAGGGCGCGGAGGCAGGTTCGAGGCGCCGGGCGCTCGGGGAGCTTCTCGCGAGTGTGTCGGCCTCCGGGGGTCCGATTTTTCGTGCCCTGGACCGATCTGGAGCGGAGCTGCCTTCGTCCCCCCCTCTTGGCCGATTTGTCTCGGGGCCCATTCAGCTCAGGCACCCCGCCGCATCCGAGGTCCAGGCCTCCAAGATGGGGGCCGCCGAGCAGATGGTGTCGGGAGACCGCGCCGGCATCGCCAGGAGGATAGGGAGGAGTGGGGCTCAGAGGATGGCGACCAGAGAGGCCTGAGGCCTCTTGGATGCCTTTGGGAGTCTCTGCGCACGTCTCTCGAGAGGTTCTTGGGGTCCTCTTGGGGCGTCTTGGAGGCCTCTCCCGGCGGTCCCGGGGGCCTCTTGGGTCGGGAGCCTCGAGACGGGGGTCAGTGCAAACGGGGGTCAGCCAGAGCGCCCCGACCTTGCAGGATCCTGCAGGGCCAGGGTCGCATTGACCCGGGTTTGGGTGCAGGATCCTGCCGGATCCTGCAGGATCCTTCGCATTGACCCGGGTTTGGGTGCAGGATTTTGCAGGATCTTGCAGGACTCTGCAAGGCCTGACTGACCCGGGTCTGGATTGACCCGGGTCAGCAGGTCCCCGATTGGGCGCTCTTGGGGCACTCGCGAGACGGCTGCCCCGCCCCCGCCCCCGACGACGACGCCTTCGACAGTTGCTCCGACGACGTCGCCGAAGACTTCTTCCCCGACCAGGGCGGCCCCATTCGGCGACGGCGGCCCCTCTGACGACGGCAGCCCTTTTGACGACGCCCCCCCGCCGATAGCGCCGACGGCATGCGCCCAGGTAAGTACCTCGACGACCCGCCCCCCGCCGGACTCCCCATGTTATGGTGGCGGTGTCGTCATCGGTGCTCTCGCCCGCGCGGCCCTCGTCGACGAGCGAAGGTAACTTGTCTCCCCTGGCGGGCCCGTCGACCAGCTTTAAGTCGGGCCTGTCCCTCTATAGGAGGGAAATCCCCAAATAGTAAAAGCAAATAGTCTGGGGACGATGTTTCGAGTATTGCTTGACAATTTTTGACTATTTTCTTCTATTTTTTATTTTTCATCCCAAATCCCCCCGTAGGAGGACAGGCCCGACTTAAGACTAGCTCCTTGTGGCGGCTTCACGATCCACGTCGGCGGGCCGCACGGCCCGCGCGCTTCGGCGCCGGCGCTGGTGCTCCGGCGGCGGCGCGCCCGACCCCTTCCTGTGGCGCCCTGCAGTCAGGACGTCGGCTCCCTGCTGGTGCTCAGCCAGTGCGTGGAGCCTTGGGGGCCATCTTCGGGCGATCTTGGAGGAGAGGAGTCAAAGAAGGCGGGGCCTGCTCACCCGCCACCTCCTGCTCCTGTGCACGCGGCTCACCTTTTTTTTCTGATGGCGCATCACTCGAAGGGGTCTTTCTGCGTGAGTCGCAGGTCGGCTACGACACGCGTCCGCGGGTAGAGAAACATCAGCGCCATGGGAAGGAACTGGAGGGAGAGATTGGATGTTAGATTCGGCGCGAACGATTCTAGCTCGCCTCCTCTCCCTTCCTTCCCCCCTTTCCTCTTCCCTCCTCCTTCTCCTTCTCCTCCTCCTCCTTCTTCTTCTTCTTCTTCTTCTCCTTGCGTTCCTCCTCCTCCTACTCCTCCTCCTCCTCCTCCTCCTCCTCCTCCTCCTCCTCCTCCTCCTCCTCCTCCTCCTCCTCCCTTCTCGTCTTATTATCCTTCTCTTCTCGCCTGATCGTCCGCGCCTTCGGCTCAGGAAGAGCTTCAGAAGCTGCTGGACGACAATGAGCAGCAGTTGAAGAAGAAAGACAAGGCGGCTACCGCCAGCGCCCCTTCGCAGCTGCGAGGAGGGCACGGAGCGAAGGAGCAGCGGAGAATGAGCAAGAGGACGAGGCGGATGATATTGAGGAGCAGGGCGAGGACAACAACGAGGGAGAAGGAGTTGATTGATAAGGAGGCGGAGGGTGGAAGGAGGAGGAGGAGGAGGAGGAGGAGGGAGGAGGAGGAGGAGGAGGAGGAGGAGGAGGAACACGAGGAGGAACACGAGGAGGAACACGAGGAGGAGGAGGAGAGGAGGAGGAGGAGGAGGAGGAGGAGGAGAGGAGGAGGGAGGAGGGGGAGGAGAGGAGGAGGAGGAGGAGGAGGAGGAGGAGGGAGGAGGAGGAGGAGGAGGAGGAGGAGGAGGAGGAGGAGGAGAGGTTGGAGGAGGAGAGGTTGGAGGAGGAGGAGGAGGAGGAGGAGGAGAAGAGGGAGGAGGAGGAGGAGGAGGAGGAGCCGAGGGGGCGGTGGAGGCGAAGGGAGAGAGGGGAGGGAGCACGTTGAGGCACGAGAGGGGAACACGCGGAGGAGAAGGTGCTGGAGGAGGATCGCGGGCAAGGGGGAGGTGGAGGCGCGATGCTCTGCGCGAGCGTCGGTGGCCGCCCGCGGGCGGTGGCGCGCGCGTGGGGCGCGCGCGCTCCGGGAGGGGCGTCCCCGCCCGCAGAGGCTCGGTGCGCGTGCAGGCCGAGCCCTGGCCAAGCAGCCTTGCGGCACGACGCCGCGCAGTTTGGGGGCCTGCGGCGAGTCGGGTCCGACGCGAGGTCGGGCGAGCCGCGGGACGCGTCCGTGGGAGCCGGGCACGGCAAGAGCAAGGGGACCACCGCCCGCCAAACCACCCCAGCCCAACCCGAAGGCCCCGATTTGCCCTCCCTTTCCTGTGGTGGTGGCGGGGAGCATAGAGGAAAAACACATACATGAAGCCCGTACCCCCCCGCCCCAACCCGAAATTCTGGCAAAATTCGGGTCTTCGGGTTGGGTTGGGCTGGGTTGGAGCAAGAAGGGAGGAGGGAAGGAGCGGCCGCGAGACGGCCAGGGAGCTCCCAGACCGCGCACATCCTCGAGCGGCGCCAGGGGGCGGGCTCGTGACCTCGACGGCGCGCCGCAGGGGAGCGAAGGACATGCCGGACGGCAGAGGCCCATAATGCCACACAGCGGCGCCCCTCTGAGTTCGTCCTTGGAGGCCTTCGCGGTGGAGGTCTTTGACGACGTGCTTGGCCTGCGGAAGCTCGCGGACGGGTCGCGGAAGCCAGCTGCAGTCAAAGACCACAGGGGGAGCAGGTACCGATGCCGCTGCTCGTCCCGGAGAGTTCTCGTCGCCACGGCCGGGGTATCGTCGAGATCCTGGTCGGATTGCACCCAAGCGAAGGTCCGGAGCGCAGCGGCATAGGTGCGTAATGGCTCCCGCCCCGGATTCGGCGGCGAGTGAGGGGGGAAGTGAGAACGAGAAGGCCTTCTCAGGAAGCGGGGGGGCTCAGAAGCCCTGGCGCCACCTGAGAGGTTCCCTGCGTCTTCGGGGAAGGCTCGGAAAACTCCTCCGAAAACAGGAGGGGAGGACTTCCGAGCCTCCTGAATGGGCCTTATCCTGAAGTCGGGCCTGTCCCTCTACAGGAGGAGTACTCAGAACTAGGGAAGAATAGTTTAGGGACGATCCCCGGGCCATGCTTAGACTATGTGTGAGGATTTCTTGCCTGATGCCCATTTCTCGCCCAAAATCCGCCTGTAGGAGGACATGCCCGACCTAACCTTCTCCCGCTCGTTCCCCCTCCCCGTCGCTCGCCGCCGAAAGACGCCTCCAGGTGGCGTCTCGATTGGATCCTGGCTGACATCCCGGAGCGCCCCAGGAGGAGGAGGAGGAGGAGGAGGAGCCCACGCTTCCCATCAAGTCGGGCATGTCCCTCTGCAGGAACAAAATTCAAAAATAGCCAGAAAGTTAATATGGGGACGTTTTTTCTTTAATTTGTACACCACGCTTCGAATATGTTTGATCAGTTTTTCATGTGTCGTCCAAAATCAGCCTGTAAAGGGGACATTCCCGACCTAAGCCTGTCATTAGACACCAAAACATGTTATGCGAGCCTTTTGTGGTTCGCACAACATGTTCTTATAACGCTTCTAGCTGAGACGATGTCGTTTCAATGTTTCAGCACATCGGTATAATGTTCTGACCACATCGCCGGTCTTCTTGGAACATGTTCTGGGTTCAAAGAACACTGCGTGGATGGGAACGCCGGCACGGCCGGCCCCTGCTCAACATCGAGGGATCGAGGGACCGTCGCCTCGCCCTCGCTGGAAGCAGGTGGAAGCACATGGTGCGTGCTCCCGATTGACACTCCTGGGGTGTGCCAGGAAGGGCCGTTTTCTGGCCGTCTTCTTGCCTGCGAGGACTCGAGGGACGGGTTTGGATTCGGGCGACGAGGTTCTTCGCAGAGGGGGTCTCGAACATGTGCGCAGTGGTTCGTGCAATCGTTCGCCCTGTATCGTGCTTGATGCGGGCAGAGCGCGCTGCAGCTAGCATCGCTGGCCAGTGGGAGGGGCCACGCGCCACGAGCCACAGGATGAACCAACGGGCACTTGGCCCTCGGTGAAAGCAGGTGGAAGTTCAAGGTGGGTGATCTCGCCGGCGGGGCCCAGCGAAATTACACGTTCGCCCCCCGTTGAGAGGTCGACAAACGTGGTGCCACCCAGGGCTTTGGAGTCGGCCGTGTATTGGTGCTGAGGGAGCCTCGATTCAGATTTCGGTCGCGCCCGTATTTGATAGAGATGCTTTCCTGTTTGCGGTCGCATCGGCTTGCGGCC